ACCAATTGTTGAAAAGATCAAGTATATTTTATTAAAAGAAAATTATTTGAAATCTTACTTTTACGGCAAAATCGAACACACTGTATTCACACGTGCAATAGCACAAAACCGGCTACGTACAAGCAGAGCTACGAACGTGTACGGATGGTGTACGGTAAGAGGACTATTGATTTTATTATACCTCGTTTGATAAATAAACTACCGTGCGATCTTAGAGATAAGCTTGTAGAAAAAAATATTAAATACGAATTAAAAAATATGTTCTTTCTTAGAACACACACACACACACACACACAAGAATTAATTCTATTGGTAATGTTTATTTATTATCATGTTTATTTTATAATAGAACGAACGAAAGAGACTGGATCCTACAACCCAGGGAATCCTAGTGTGGGAAACAGTGTTCAAATTATTTATAATTGCAAATTCCATCTTTGGTGTTTAATAATAAACCTTAAAACCTTAATACCACCACCGATCTAAAATTCTAAATTCTAATATTATTAAAATCTATAATAAGTTAACAAATTCAAATTATTATAATTTTTTTAAATTCAAATCTACTGTTATAGAATACTGAGAAATGTTTCTATAGTGTACAAGAATTTTTAGGTTATAAGTGAAATGTAATTTTTGTTTTTATATCACAATGTGTATACGCCTGAAAGGGCAACAATTTGTGATACTCATGTTTTGAATTAACAATAAGATCTGTTTTTTGGTTACCTTGTTTTTATGCACAATAAAGTACTTGCTTACTTGCTTAGTAATGTTAGTAATGTTAATAGTACCACAATCAAGCGTTTGCTGAGTTGTCAAAAAATGTTATAAATTTGAATCTACTTAATTTGTATGTGTGATTGAAGTAATTAAAATAATTGTAATTAATATATTAAAACAAATATTAATCTGTGTTATGTAATGTAATGTCATATAGTTATTTAAGTTTTTGTAATGTAATTTATATAAATTCTTGCATGTGTTACGAACCTTAGTGGTTTACATGATGCAAGTAAACCAACTTATGGTAACCATAAAGTTTGTTAATAATTAAATAAATAAAAAAAAAACAATTAACTTTTAAAGAATATAAACAGATTCATGAGAAATATCGATAACCTACGCTAGGTTATAGCTACGACTACAGATATGTCCATGAGTTAAAATTGAAAATAACTTTATTTAAAAATTCTTGATTAAAACATAGATTAGCCAATAATTTGTATTTATTTAAGATTTTTTACGGAACCAACATGCCTGTTATTTTTCTACCCTCGGTAATAGAATCACGAATTGCGGTATTACCTCGGTAATAGCTTCATCCGGATTTTTATGTTTAATATTTTTTTTTTCTTTACGTATTTCCTCAAAAACTATCTACATATTTATAGATTCCTAAAATTCAAACCTCTAAGTATCAGAAAATATATACTAGTAACTGTTTTTACGATAGGAAATTTATATTTAGAATGATTAAATCAAGGCCAAAAAACCTCAATTTTACCTTTGTAATTAATACCTTCTTTTACCTTAATTACTTACTTATGCCTCGCATCCAATTGATAAATATTTAAGAAATCTTTGTTCATATCCTCTGTTATCTCTATAATCTTATCCTTGTTAAAAACATGGCTGGCATAAACTATAGGTATGATACCAAGTAGTATAAGATAACAAAAACACTCTGTAGCGAAGCTGTAATCGTGTATCTGGAGACCGTGGTACACAAATATAGTTTGAAATACCGTCGCCATGCATATCATTAAAACGCAAATAGTTGGCCATAATAACCTAAAAAATTAAAATTGCCTTAATTGAATATAATAGGTAAAATACTAAGGTCCTTTTCATTTAAAGAGTGAGCATAAAGCCAATAAGCGGCAATGAGATAGAGATATTATGTAGATTTGCGAATTGACATGCCCCTTCGGTTAGTGCTGAACAATGTTGTCAGATACAAAATTTGACTCTCATATTAAGCGGTTGCACCTATAAAAAAGGTTTAATTAAAACAAGAAATTGAAAAAACACAAGAATTCTAGTAACTTTCTTATTTTTTTTCTAAGAAGTAAATTATTTATTTGATCAATTTTGCGTTCACAATGCTATACGAACTTTTATTCGTTTATTTTAACTAAATACCTTCTGAGTTACTTATATGCATTTTAAAATTAATTAATAATTTTGCAGTAGGCATTATTTCCCTACAAACCTTCGGAGGGAGTTTTTATTCCGAAAAAATATTCCCAATGATAATAATAATAGTCTGAAATGTGGATAAAATGTATAAAAATCGATATCTGCATTGACGAAATCAACATTTCCTTTGTTGAAAAATGTCTTAAACATTTGTAAGAAAAACATGATTATCGCTATATTAAAATCACTGTACTGTGCTGTTCTATGGTGCTACTAGCGACCGACATGAATCACAAATTATTATTAAATTCTAATTAGATAGAAACATGTAATGCGAAGTTTCGCATAGTTATACGAAACGAATAGAGCAGTTTACTATATATATCATATTAGTTTGTGGAGTTTTCATATAATAAAATTAGTTAATTTTTACAGATTGACTATATTAATGTACAGATAACACAGAAGGAGTTAAATTTTGAAATACTTAAAAAAAAAACAGAATTAAAAAAAATCTGAATAAAGAGAAATTACTGAAAAGAGAGAAATAATACCACAAATTATTAACTTCGAAAAATCGAAACACAAAAAGTGGATACAACAATTTTTTTTCTTTTAAATTGAGAGTTTCTTTTACATATGGGAATCAAACTGGAACGATAATTATCATCGTCGTCAGTGATTTATTGTCCTGTTTGCGAATGTGCTCAAGCCTTAGGCCACAACTTACTATGCGGGCTGAGTCCGGATTGTGATTGTAACAACTGATGAACTAACGGCTCGATATATTTAATTTTTTGTATATTTAATTAACTAAGCGCGTTAAACACTGCGCTGTCATAATGGGAATATAAAAAAATTATTTCGATTGGTACATGGCCATATAGGAAAAAAACGGGTTTCTAAAATATTGTTAACGACTTAAAAGGGTTGGAATTCCATTTGATAGACTGTACTTACCATAGCAATCGAGTAATTTACAATAATTGTATAAAATTGGACTTATTATGTCATTACAACTCATTGCTGATTAAATTGGTCTTCTTTCTTGATTAGCATATCAGTACATACCTTCACATACTTACAATAACAAATTAAAAATGTTTAAAATTATTTTGAAAACGAGAGTATAGGCTATGAATACAAGCACTTCTGATCTGCAATTTAGAAGAATATTTATAAATGAAAAAATAGTATTCTAATAAGTAATCAAATTATTTTTTTAAATAAGAACTCTTTTTTTGTGGTGCGTGTACAATAGGTAAAATCTTTGTAATCGCTGCGAGCCAGATTACGAAATGTCAAATATCTGTTAACCTTTAGAAAGAAAGAAATTTATTTATTCGGTTTATTCCATTCTGATAACCTGGGTGATATCATCTGGGTGTTTAAATTCGAAATTTTCGTGTCCTCAAATCACCTACAGGCAAATCACCTGAGCGACCAAAGTCTACAAGATGTTTGTTTCGGCGAGGAAATGCTTTAGGCACTACCTTTGTCGCCTGACAAGCGACAGGGGATGTGTGGGACTCTCTCCCCTTCACGAGCCCACTCCGTTACGAGCCGCGCGTTAGGGTCCTGGAGGCCTATCCATAAAAACCCTTACGGGGAGGCCCTAGGAATGAGACAGGAACCCATGGCCGAGCCAACCCCCATTACTATATGCTGTAAAACTTTACAAATTTTTCATCTAAGTTAAAACGTGTGGCTTCGCCGTTTCTTTTATAACATTTGTTTGAACTATTTTGTTTGCATTACATCAGAAAAGTAACGAATCGTTCAGTACGTGTTACACCAATGCGAAGGCAAAGCAGCTAAGTCACATGTTTACCTAAGTGTACTACAGTTTGTATGATAAGAACCAAATAATTTCAATTAAATATAACCTAGAAGATTATCTATGTTATATTTTTGCTTGCAGATTTGAGAAGCATCATGGTACAGTGGTTAGCTCTTTTAGTCTTTAACTTTCACAAGGGTTGGACGTATGATCAAAAATTTGTAATCATAATCCGTTGGTCCCAGTTTTACCTGTAGTCATTAACCTCTAAAAATCCGTACTGGTCCTGCGTGGTGGGTTTTGGTCTGTTATTCCTAATTGGTTAGATTAGGTTAATTGTTCAAAAATAACTGTACTTTGCTGTTTTAAGGCGCTATTAGCTACTTTTTTAGTAGGTAGAAGCAATGTAAAGTGAAAGGAATAAAGCTTTGTGATTTATTTTTTCAACTTGTTTTTACAGGTTTCATAAAATTATGTTGACTTTATATGAATACCCTAAATTTTTTCCGGGCAATTTATCAATTTGAATTCACAAATATTATTGGTTAATTATTAAAATATATTATTTTTTGTAATCTTATATATATATATATATATATATATATATATATATATATATATATATTCATAGCCTATACTCTCGTTTTCAAAATAATTTTAAACATTTTTAATTTGTTATTGTAAGTATGTGAAGGTATGTACTGATATGCTAATCAAGAAAGAAGACCAATTTAATCAGCAATGAGTTGTAATGACATAATAAGTCCAATTTTATACAATTATTGTAAATTACTCGATTGCTATGGTAAGTACAGTCTATCAAATGGAATTCCAACCCTTTTAAGTCGTTAACAATATTTTAGAAACCCGTTTTTTTCCTATATGGCCATGTACCAATCGAAATAATTTTTTTATATTCCCATTATGACAGCGCAGTGTTTAACGCGCTTAGTTAATTAAATATACAAAAAATTAAATATATCGAGCCGTTAGTTCATCAGTTGTTACAATCACAATCCGGACTCAGCCCGCATAGTAAGTTGTGGCCTAAGGCTTGAGCACATTCGCAAACAGGACAATAAATCACTGACGACGATGATAATTATCGTTCCAGTTTGATTCCCATATGTAAAAGAAACTCTCAATTTAAAAGAAAAAAAATTGTTGTATCCACTTTTTGTGTTTCGATTTTTCGAAGTTAATAATTTGTGGTATTATTTCTCTCTTTTCAGTAATTTCTCTTTATTCAGATTTTTTTTAATTCTGTTTTTTTTTTAAGTATTTCAAAATTTAACTCCTTCTGTGTTATCTGTACATTAATATAGTCAATCTGTAAAAATTAACTAATTTTATTATATGAAAACTCCACAAACTAATATGATATATATAGTAAACTGCTCTATTCGTTTCGTATAACTATGCGAAACTTCGCATTACATGTTTCTATCTAATTAGAATTTAATAATAATTTGTGATTCATGTCGGTCGCTAGTAGCACCATAGAACAGCACAGTACAGTGATTTTAATATAGCGATAATCATGTTTTTCTTACAAATGTTTAAGACATTTTTCAACAAAGGAAATGTTGATTTCGTCAATGCAGATATCGATTTTTATACATTTTATCCACATTTCAGACTATTATTATTATCATTGGGAATATTTTTTCGGAATAAAAACTCCCTCCGAAGGTTTGTAGGGAAATAATGCCTACTGCAAAATTATTAATTAATTTTAAAATGCATATAAGTAACTCAGAAGGTATTTAGTTAAAATAAACGAATAAAAGTTCGTATAGCATTGTGAACGCAAAATTGATCAAATAAATAATTTACTTCTTAGAAAAAAAATAAGAAAGTTACTAGAATTCTTGTGTTTTTTCAATTTCTTGTTTTAATTAAACCTTTTTTATAGGTGCAACCGCTTAATATGAGAGTCAAATTTTGTATCTGACAACATTGTTCAGCACTAACCGAAGGGGCATGTCAATTCGCAAATCTACATAATATCTCTATCTCATTGCCGCTTATTGGCTTTATGCTCACTCTTTAAATGAAAAGGACCTTAGTGTTTTACCTATTATATTCAATTAAGGCAATTTTAATTTTTTAGGTTATTATGGCCAACTATTTGCGTTTTAATGATATGCATGGCGACGGTATTTCAAACTATATTTGTGTACCACGGTCTCCAGATACACGATTACAGCTTCGCTACAGAGTGTTTTTGTTATCTTATACTACTTGGTATCATACCTATAGTTTATGCCAGCCATGTTTTTAACAAGGATAAGATTATAGAGATAACAGAGGATATGAACAAAGATTTCTTAAATATTTATCAATTGGATGCGAGGCATAAGTAAGTAATTAAGGTAAAAGAATTTATCAATTTGAATTCACAAATATTATTGGTTAATTATTAAAATATATTATTTTTTGTAATCTTATATATATATATATATATATATATATATATATATATATATATATATATAAAAATTGTGTCACGATGTATGTTGCCAATAAACTCCATAACTACTTAACCGATTTCTATCAAATTTCACATGTAGCCGTATTTTGGTCTAACTTACTGGATAGGATAGTTATCATCTCAGTTATTGGCTTATGTCGTGAATGTAAACGAATAAAATGTTCTAATTAATTGTTTATTTACTGTTTAGTTTTATGAAGTTCTCGTAGATGGCGGTGTACGTTGATTCATAGATAAAATTCTTCAATATCGTTTGACATCTAGGTAGCAAATACACCCAATAGATGGTGCTGTGTTCTAGATGGCGTTTATTCTAAAGTAATCTGCGGTAACGTTTCTTTCAAAGAATTTTGCGTAGATTACGTTTTCGATTAAGTTTTGTGTAAACTTCAGAACTGTTTTTTTTTTTTCATCTTTATTTCAAATTGCATTGAATTAGATTAATATCTCTAAAAATATTTTTAAACTCACACGATTTGTATACATTATAATTATATGCAATCGGGTCTTGTTCGTGCATTTTTTAAAACAATTCATTTACCTCGTTTCGGCTACGTTACAGCAGCCGTGGTCACGAGGAGACTGGAGAACTGGCGGGTGTCGTCTTCTGATTTTAGTTGAGGGTAATCCGGTAATAATGTTTTTAACTGATTTTCAGATGTACCCTCCACTTGATTTTATTATACGTAAAGGTGGCGACACACTGCACTTACGGTATCCGAGAATATTGTTCGTGGTTGTTTGCGATCGCGACACTTATACATTTTTATAACCGGATTCCACGTTGGTGAGAGTTTATATCCACTTTCCCGGTTGAAATTGTTGTGTTTTTCGATTTCAACCGCTTCACGAACAATCCTTGGATAGTAATGTCGTTCAGTGGAAAGGACATGAGGTGTATGTAACTCGATCCAGTGGTTTGATCCAGATGATAATAAGTGCTCTGCAATCGCGGACTTCTCCACTTGACGATTTTTGACCGCTGCTATGTGTTCTCTTACACGTTCGGCGATAGTCCGCTTCGTTTGTCCGATATATGAACTACCGCAGCTGCAGTCAATTTTATAAACGCCAGGTTTTTGGTAAGGAATACTATCCTTTGGTGATCGCAATTGGTGTGACATTTTTGATAAAGGAGTAAAAATGGTGTCTATAGAAAAATTTTTCCTCAAAATGGAACCGATTTTGTCCGTTACTCCCTTAACATAGCCTAAAAATGCCCGTTGCCTGGGAACCTTAGGTAGTCTTTCCTTACACCTTCGGATAGGGTATGACCTCCTTGCGCTGTATCCATTTTTCCTTAGCACGTCCTGTACATGGGACAACTCATCTGCTAAGAAGTCAGTATTACATAATGCGTTAGCCCTGTTAATAAGAGTTGTCTCCACAGAACGTAGGTGTTGAGGATGATGATGAGATGAAGCGTGGAGGTACTTGTCTGTGTGTGTTGGTTTCCTGTAGACAGTGTGTTTCAGGGACCCATCAGCTTGCGCCATGACTTTAACGTCCAGAAAGGGTAAGGTTTTGTCACTCTCTAACTCATAGGTGAACTTGAGATTCGGATGGATATTATTGACGTGTGTAAGGAACTGCTCAATCTCCGGTTTGTCGCCCTTCAGGATACAGAACACATCGTCTACATACCGTTTCCACATACGGATCCCATGTGACTGGTAATCTATCAATGACTCGACATGTTCCATCCATATATTGGCCAAAAGTGGCGCTACGGGGCTACCCATGGCGACACCATCAATTTGAAGGTAATGTTTGCCGCGATATAGAAGATAGCTGCCATCTAAACAGTTCCGTAATAGAACCATGTACCCTTCCGGTATATCGTTTTGTCTAAGTTTCATCCTAACAACCTCTAGACAGTCCTTAACTGGAACTTTGGTGAACAGCGACTCAACATCAAAACTCACCATTACGTCATCCGGATCCAGTTTTGTATCATCAAGGATCTGTACAAAATGACGCGAGTCCTTCACAAAGGATGTTGTAGTGCCCACAAGGGGTTGCAGTACGGAAGCAACGTGTTTTGCCAAATAATAAGTAGGTGAGTCAATCTGACTCACAATCGGTCTCAGTGGAACGCTGGCCTTATGCACTTTCGGCAATCCGTATAATTTTGGTGGTTGTACTATCTTCGGCTTGTATAGGTTCTCAAAGATGTCCTCGGTGAAAAGGTGTTTATAATCCCTGATAACAGCACGTATTCTCCTTGTAACTCTCGCAGTTGGATCGTACGATACCGGCTTATATATGTTATCATCTTGCAACAGAGCAAGTATTTTGGAGTCGTAATCGCTAGTATTTATCACGACGGTAGCGTTCTCCTCGTGACCACGGCTGCTGTAACGTAGCCGAAACGTCGAGGTAAATTAATTGTTTTAAAAAATGCACGAACAAGACCCGATTGCATATAATTAAATAATATCTCTAAAGTTTCAAAGATAAAGTGCTGAAACATATTGGACATTCGTTGGTATTTTGTTGTACTATCTTCGAACTTAAACATCGAGGTAATTTCATCATCAGAGTGGTAAGTGTAAGTTTTACGCTAACGCGTTCACTAGTGAGCGCGTTAGGAATTTGTATGGAGATTTATACTTCTTGGTAGTTACCGCTAGAGGCGCTGTACCGGATTCTATACTAAAATCTTAACGCGCTCACGATCGACAGTGAACGTAAACATAAAAAAAACTTACACTAAGCATTCAGCTCAAAAACAACAGCGTTTTTGGAAAATTTGATGCCCAAAGTAACTATATCACGCGGACAAAGTCGCGTGCAAAAGCTAGTTGAAATATAAATATGATCACATAATCAATATTTATTTTATTAATAAAAACTTGTTGAATTTTTGATATGAGGATGAAAAATTATCATAATAATAAAAAGAATTTAAACGAAATATATATTTCATAAGACTTTTGCTCAATATGTAATAGTATAAATCTCATAATAAGGTTACAAAAGCGAGTGGCTAGGAATGCCATTTCTTCAACAATGCTCGTATGGAAAACGAGTAATTTGACTCAATTGCATAAAGACTAGAAAAATTGGTTCTTCCAATTATACGGTAATTATGTCGTTTCAACTGGTTGCTGATTAAATTTGTCTCCTTCCTCGATTAGCATATGAAGTACTTAAAGAATCTTACTTGTTGAGCGTTACAGAGAAATCTTAAAGCTTTGACAGGCTAAAAAATCATATCCGTTTCGGAGCATATTCAGTTTAAACAATCAATTATTTAGTTTAGTACTATTTGCATAGAGGCATCGAGGTGCTCGATGGTACAGTGGTTAGCGCGCTCGGTTTTGGTCCCGTCTGCATCTGCAGTCAACAATATCCACCAATCCGCTCTGGGCGCGCGTCGTGGGTCGTACTTGTACTTAGCCCATTCTCCCTATTTGATTGCACTCATAGGGAAGGCGCGAACCCTAGCAGTCGAGATATTAATTGGCTGGTAATAATGATAGATGTACTATTGTATACCACCATCCGCGTTGTAAATCACTAACTAGTTAGCTAGCTGTTCATAAGTAGGTACATGAAGATAACAGAAACACGATAGAAAAATAACCGAACAAATAATATCTTTAATTAAAAATAAAAATGCAAGTAATTAATGCAGTTACCGCTAGTAAATAAGCTATAGGTAGTTTTATACTCGGTAGAAATTGCATTGAGTTGCCGTATAAATAACTGTAGATATATTTGTTGTAAGATTTTTTATATACAAATAGGTAAGAAGTTTGTTACGTTGGACACCGAAAGAAAAGGGATTATTCCCAACTAAATTCAATTTATAAGATTTACCGAGTATATAAGGGTCAAAATTCTAAATAGAATAGAATGGAGTTTACATTTCTATTAAGGAAAAGATATCTCGTACCTTTTTTGTATTCAATTACACGACCTCTGAGGGTACGCAACCCACAGATTGAAGAACACTGGTTCAATAGATAATCTTTTGTTTTTACGATTGCTGCCCTACTTAAAGTTTGTTGCTTTGTTAAATATTTGTTTGCAGTATGTTAAGTACCAAGTACTTTACTTTATATTACCAGCTTAAAATAAAAAAAAAATAATAATAACTTTTATTTTATCTTGATTTAATCAAAAACCTCCTTTTGTAATTAAAAAAGGCGATATGCAATTTTATTTTTTCGGGTACTAAGGTTGAGAGTAATAATTAACTATTATATTTCTGTTATTATTTTCATATTCCATAACATGGAAATCGTGTAAAATACAAGTAGTAAATAAAAGAAGCAATAAAAATAATTTTTCGATATTATAGTAGGCTAAAATATCAAAAATTTATTTTAGTAATTTTTAATCGAGGCAGGAAGTTAATGTACAGTTGGCAAGAAAGTGGTCTACCACCCTAAGGTTGAATTTCGCGTTTACGTCAACTAACAACAAGGTTGATTTTCCGTTGCATTAATTTTCTGATACGTCAAGGACACATCATTGTTGCTATCTTCATAATTTTGAACATTTTGACGTACCTAACCTTTGACAGTAATAATCTATACCTATAATAAAAATGTGACAAGGTTACGTCCGTAAGATATTTTGGAAAAAAATATATGGACGATCTTCATAAGACTAATAGAAGCCAAAAATATTTTTTTTCTGTCTGTATGTTTGCTCGGGCATCGCGCCAAAACTACTGAACCAAATTAAATGCGATTTCCACAGTTGCATTGCTTGAAGTCTAACTAAGAAAATAGACTATTCCTCCAAAAACCAACAAAACTGGTCCACGCAGACGAAGCCGTAGGCGGAAAGGTAGTTATTTATAATCTATAATGAAAAACTTCGATTCCCCACTACGATTCCGCCCGAACCGAGAATACTTTAGAGTTAGTATATCGTAAACAAAGTCTTATTCTGCAAATATTCTACATTAGAATGTAGATTAATTATTAAATATTCGTGAAATGCTATAAGTAAGAAGCGTGGTCTGAATATACTGAGATGACGAATAATAGAAAATAATTGAGACGAAAAACATTTTGTGCCGACCCACCCTGCTTAGTGTGAGACAAGTGCTAAAACTAGAAGAGGTAGTGAAAATGCTAATAACTAAAGAATTAGTATTTGCATTATTTGAATTAGCATTATTAGTTGTTAAAAATATGTTCAATTCTTTTATAAAATTATAATTATTAAAATATTGTGTAGCCGCCATCTGCCTCTATGACAGCTTGGAGACGTCCCCCTCATCGAGTCCACTAGTCTTGAGCAGATATATCAGACCCACGGGTTTCCTCCCAAACCTCATTGCAGTGCCCTTGAAGTGCTTCTGGTGTTCGTTCATCGCGGTTACAGCATCTCTGAACCATAAGACCCCACATATTTTCAATAGGATTGAGATCTGGCGATTTTACAGGCCATAGTATCAAGATTATTTCCGGATGTGCATCAAACCAAGCACGTATTACCCTTGTTTTATTTAAGGGACAGCTATCCTGTAAATAATTAAATTGTCGCATTTAATTTTTCTGATCTGGACGGCTGGCAACATAGCATTTTGGAGAACATCGTCATAATCTGATGCCGTTGCTTGTGGTGTGTGGTCTCCAACACCATCAGCAGTCATCCATCCATACAAATTTACAGAGATACGACCCGACGAGGAAGATACGACGATTTAAAAGTTTTTTTCTTCACAGAACAGTGTTACTCCAATCAAAATCCAAATATTCTATGGCAAAATTTTATCTGGCCATTCGCAGAGCGTCAGTCATATAAATTTTCTTTGCATAACGCCTGTGATGTAATCCCATGTATTGTTAATGGTTTCTAATGGTTTGGAGAGTCACGTCAAACATGTTGGCAAAATAACGCGTTGGTTTAAAGCCAGATTCCTCATAACTCCGTCTCATGAAGACTCGCTGAGTAGGTATTTGATTTTCAGGTCTACGACTGCTACGACTCCGAGCGTTCAAATTCCCCTCCTCGCTTTCTCATCTTATCCAAAGACGGACAGCTTGTCTCTATAATCAAAAATAAAATATGAACAAGAAAAAAATAAAATGATTACACTCAGACTTGGTCTGAAATTTTACATTAAACTTACGTCAGACATAATAAGATTTACCGCCACATTTAATTCTCTATAAATCTCACTAATATTCAAACCATCATTGTGTAATGCGATTATTTGAGCTCTCTCATTAATGGATAAATTTCGGGGCATTATAGTATAAATGAATTAGGAAAATACCTACGGAATATGCCAAGAAAATATTTGACATAAATTGACAAGTGATATTTTCTTTCTCAGTTAAAGAGTTTTCGTGAGTAACAAAAATAGTTTCCACTTTGAAGTAACCTACTTAAACATTAAATTTATGAAAGACTGTGAAGACTATTTCTTGATACAAATTATTATCTAGTGCATAGGTTGCAAAGGTCAAAATAACATTTGTGCTCTACGACAACACGTCAGCATTGTGCATCTCTTTTATTGTTTGTATGCAATTCTAAGATTCGCCTTTAGCGATGCTTTAAAAACACGGGAAGTGTTGCCAAAACTGGTAGACCACTTTCTTGGCCGACTGTACCACTGACTAAAAAGGAAAAATAAGAGAGTAATATAAGTTAATTTATAGAAAGTTATAAACTTTTAAAAATTAAAATTAATTAGAATATAGTTTAAAAGTTACAAACAATAACTTGTCTATGTACGGTATATCGTATTTGACACTACCTACATTACTATAATGTAATGAATTATCAAATATTTATTAAAATGCTATTAGGATATTAATTATACGGAATGTTTGTTATTGACTATGATATCTGCCATTATGATTGATATTTACGTAGTGTTACATTTATGTCTTCAATTTTATCATTCCAACGACTTCATTTACTTATAAACGCAAAACATCAACAAACGTGTTTTAAAAATCTTTTTGTGTTTATTTTTTTTTATTTCATAATGATCGGAATCATTATTTTGATAGCCGGAATCACTTATTTCATGGTGTTATTTTATAAGAACGCGTACAAGAGAATGGAAAATTTTCCTCCGGGTAAGATTTTATTTTAAGTTAATATAATTTTTGTAATAATAAGATTATTATTTTATTCAAAAGCATTGCTACTTGTTACAAATTATTTATTTGTTTTTAATTTTGGAGTCGAGTTTTTTTGTAAAGTGATATTATGTATAAATACAGTAAGTCAAATAGGTAGAAAAATAAGATTTTTGGGTAAAATATATTTAAAATTGATTTGATCTATTCACCCTAGTGTCTTGCCTGAATCCTTTTATTAATTAATTAATTAATTAATAATTAAAAATATTAATAATAATATTATTTATGTGAAAGTTTCTTTGTTTGGATGTTTAGATGTTTGGATGTTTGTCTATCAATCACGCCGAAACTACTGAGCGGATTTTCATGAAATTTGGTATACACATAGGGTATTGGCTGACTTAGATAATAGGATACTTTTTATCTCACTAAACATTTCCCTAGGGATCACGCGGGCGAAAGCTAGTAGTAAATACATACAACATCTGAACAAAATAAACATTTGATATTATACCTATTAATGAAGAGCAAAGTTTAATGCGAAAAATTCATCTGTAAAATTTTATCAGGTTTCTATGACAAAATAAAAATGTAAAATGACTTGTAAAATGTGAAAAATACTATTTATTAAGAGGCGATTTATATTTATGAAAATTTTATTGAAGTCGGGAGAGGCTTCCCACTCATTGGGTTTCTACAAAGAATATAATATAATAATGATAATTCTTTATTTGTTGCAGTAAACAAGTATAAAACTAGTTGCAACTTTGTTGCAAACCACAAATATAGCAAAATACAACAATAACAACGACAATTATACAATGTTCTTAATGAATGATACGTCATCGTCATAATTAAATTATATTAACCACTGATTAAATTTTTTTATATAAATACTATAATATATTGTCATAAATGCGATTTTTTAATATATATATATATGAAAAGCGTATTTTGCAGACCTATGATTTCAAAATGAAAAAAGAGGATTTTCTATGTTCGACGGCTTTGTATATTTTTTATGTACGTCACTCACTTTTAAGCTTAACGTAAATTGTAAACAAATTATATATAAAATGGCCACCACAACCGACTGACCCTGGCGACGTACAACGGACGCACGCTACGGCTTGACTCGCATCTGGCTCAACTTGAGGTGGAGCTTGGAAAGATTAGGTGGCATATATTGGGATTGTGTGAAGTCCGAAGAGAGGGGGAGGACACCATAACCCTCGAATCAGGCCACCTAATGTACTTCCGCGAGGGAGACCAACAATCCCAAGGTGGCGTTGGGTTTCTTGTCAATAAGTCCCTTTCTGACAACATTGTAGAAATTTCCAGTGTGTCGAACAGGGTAGCGTATCTGATTGTAAAGCTCACTGAGAGGTATAGCCTCAAGGTTGTTCAAGTGTACGCACCGACCTCGACACACTCGGACGATGAAGTGGAGAATATGTACGATGATATATCGAGGGTACTCCACTTCACTACTAAGACCCACTACAGCGTTGTTATGGGGGACCTTAACGCTAAAATGGGAGTACAAAATTGCGGCGAATCGGTAGTAGGATCCCATGGATTTGGAAGCAGGAATGATAGGGGGCAAATGCTCGTTAACTCGAACGGGAGGGGCTCTTCCTTATGAACTCGTTCTTTAAGAAACAGCCCCAAAGGAAGTGGACGTGGCAAAGCCCCGACAATGTGACAAAAAATGAGATCGACTTCATTATAACGGACAAAAAACACGTATTCAGAGATGTCTCCGTGATCAATAGGTTTAATACCAGCAGCGATCACCGACTTGTCCGAGGCTCTCTGAATATCGACTTCAAAGCTGAACGTGTCCGCTTGATGAGGGCCAGGCTCCGACCTACTCCACTCCAATCCATGATGGAATCTGAAACGTTCCAGTCAAATCTTGAGAACCGATTCGCTGCCATGGAAACCACAATTGACGTTGACGAGAACCTTGAAAATGTGGTTCGAATACTCAGGGAAGAAGGTACAAAATTTTGTAACATGCAGCGTAAGGGCGGGAAGTCTAAGCTCTCGGACAGAACTTTGGGGCTAATGAAAGAACGACGTGAAAACCCACCTGTCACTTCGTCAGGAAAACGTGCTCAAAACCAGGAGATCAGTAAACATTGACGAAGTTGATCACAGCAAGCGGGGAAATCGTTGCTTCAAAGCCAGCGGTCCTCTCAGAGGTGGAAAATTTCTATGCCCGGTTATACGCTTCGCATGCACCTCGACCTGATCCCGGAAATGAGGATTCTAGAGCCACATTAACACGTCACTACACCGAAGATTTGCCAGAAGTCAGCATTGGAAAAATCGAGATCGCTCTGAGACAGCTTAAAAATGGAAAAGCCCCTGGAGAGGATGGCATTACAACTGAATTATTAAAAGCAGGAGGTAAACCGGTACTGAAGGAGCTCCAAAAGCTTTTTAATGCTGTCCTCTTCGAAGGGAGAACTCCGCAGGTGTGGAGTAGGAGTATAGTCGTCCTGTTCTTCAAAAAGGGAGACAAAACCCTGCTGAAGAACTATCGACCCATTTCCCTTCTAAGCTAAGTCTATAAGCTGATTTCTAGAGTAGTCACGAACCGTCTTGCGCAAAGACTTGACGAATTCCAACCACCGGTTCAGGCTGGGTTTCGGAGTGGATACGGCACCATAGACCACATCCACACAGTGCGACAGATTATACAGAAGACTGAAGAGTATAATCAGCCCCAGTGTTTAGCATTTGTGGACTATGAGAAGGCCTTTGACTCGATTGAGATCTGGTCCGTTCTGGAGTCCCTGTAGCGATGCCAAGTCGATTGACGATACATTCAAGTGATAAGATGTATTTATGAGGCCGCCACCATGACCGTCCAACTACAGAATCAGCAGACAAGTCCTATACCGATGCATCGAGGAGTGAGACAAGGAGACATTATGTCTCCGAAATTGTTTACTAATGCAATGGAGGATATGTTTAAGACACTGAACTGGAAAGGACGTGGCATCAACATCAATGGCGAGTACATCTCTCACTTGAGATTTGCTGACGATATCGTCATCATGGCAGAAAATCTGCAGGACCTACAACAGATGCTGAATGACCTGGCTGACTCTTCTATACGCATCGGCCTACGAATGAACTTGGATAAAACCAAGGTCATGTTCAATGAACACGTACTACCGGAACCGATTGCAGTATGCGGTGCCGTTCTCGGAATTGTTCCAAAATATGTATACCTCGGGCAAATATTGCAGTTAGATAGAAACAACTTCGAGAGCGAGGTAAATGGAAGAGTTCGGCCAGGTTGGGCAGCGTTTGGGAAACTACGTCAGGTCTTCACATCGTCGATCCCGCAGTGCCTAAAGACGAAAGTCTTTAATCAGTGCGTCCTACCCGTTATGACATACGGAGCCGAAACGTGGACACTGACGGCACGGCTGGTTCAGTTGATCCGGCAGAGAACCAAGGTTATCGACATAGCCCACCGGATTAGCAAGCTGAAGTGGCAGTGGGCAGTGGGCAGTGGCATATTAGCCGCAGAACCGGTAACCGTTGGGGTAAACGAGTTCTTGAGTGGAGACCGCGTCTCGGTAAACGTAGTGTAGGACGTCCTCAGGCGCGGTGGAGCGATGATTTGCGCAAGATGGCTGGTAGGAGCTGGATGCGAACAGCCGAGAATCGAAGTAGATGGCGTGCAATTGGGGAGGCCTATGTCCAGCAGTGGACGAATATGGGCTGATGATGATGATGATGATGATGGGTTTCATTTTATATAGTAAACACATACAATATCTGAACAAAATAATATAACCTATAGAATAACCTATAGAAAACTTCCATCCGTCTCGCTTTTAAGATAACTGTTATTTCTCACTTTCAGTTTAAAGTCTGTTGTATTTTTTTTTATTATTTTTATTCTTAGACTTAATTGAACATTTCTTCTTGATGTGTGTTCGACATTCCAAGACTTTATTGAAGTGTGCAAAAGTATTGAAAATAACGTTGGCGATAAAATACTTTCAGGACCTCCTAGCTTGCCAGTCTACGGTGCATACTGGATTGTGCTGCTGACAGAAATCAACAACTTGGCTGGCGCTTTCAGAAAACTCAGCAAGATATATAACACCAAAATAGTCGGGTTGAACCTCGGCGTGTATCCTACTATTGTCGTCAACGATTCTGCATTAATTAAGAAAATGCTTTATACTGAGGAATTTGACGGAAGAGTTGATATTATACTTAGCCGTCTACGTTCTTACTGGAAGAAGTTAGGTAAGTTTCACCACTTTCAAATTGACGGAATACATGAAAAATTTTTGCTTCTTTTTCAAATTTATAATGTCACAATTATAGGTATTGTTCATCTCTTTCTGTGTTAATTTTCTGTCTCTCTTCGGGTGGGTCCTAATACGTATCTTTTTATTAATTTCTCAAAGAAGATTTCGACAAGATCCAGTATTTTGCTAAATTTACATTTACTTCTACTGGCTTCTACTATCAAAACAGCGTATTCATTTCTTTTTAATAGTCAATGTCAGATTTACTCGCAGCTTGAGTGCAAGCTGCGGTCAACATCTATTCAAAACAATCTATATTATACAATCTATTCAAAATAAGAATTTAAAATTGAAATCTATTAAAAAACCTTAACATTATGTATCAAAGCCTTTTAAAATAGATATATTTAATGTATATATTTTATTTCTTATTATAGTAGTTTTGACGACCTCCGTAGCCGAGTGGTTCGCACGCCGGTTTTAAGGTGTCGCCATTTCTGAGGTCCCGGGTTCGATTCCCGGTCGGGTCAATGTGGAAAATGAACTTTTCTATATTGACTCGGGTCTGGGTGTTGTGGTACCTTCGTTGTCTCAGATACTCCATAATACGGGGGCTTTAGCTACTCATCTTGGAATCTGAGCAATGTATGTGATGTTGTTAAGTATTTATTTATTTATAGTTAATAATATTTAAATATTTAACAGTTTGAGGTTATCACTAATGCAGAAACGTGACACACGTAATCGGAAAAATTTCTTTGATAACCTATGTAGCACTTGCATCAATATATAGATAACAAAAAAATATGTCTTATATACATATATCTATACTCTATTCTTTTACAAAAGTTGTTCCTAACCTTTTAATTACTGTTATCGCTATGAGCCAATAGGAAAATAAATTTCATACCTAGGCTTGTACCTAATGGATACAAATACATATAGGTGTTCTAGAATCTGATCTTAACTTGCCAACGAGGAATGGAGAGAAATATCTTGAAGGTAAAAAAGATGGATAAGATCCGTCACACAAAAATAAGAGCATTAACAAAAGCATCTGATGCTTTGAGCTACGCAGGAAAGTTAAAGTGGAAAAGGCCGGGCATATAGCAAGGCTTAAAGACATAAGATGGACATTAATATCATGTGAAGAGGACCTCATGGGAAAAGATAGAGAGGAAGACCCTCTACACGATGGAATGATGAAATCAAAAAAGTTGCAGGCTCAAATAGCACAGGATGCAAAGAAGTAGGCATTGGAGGAGGCCTTTACCCAACGTGAACCTTGCTTAAAAAAAAATCACTCAGTTTCTTTTAAAAAGTAATAAATAAATCAAATGTTAAGTAATTAAATTAACAACTAAGATGTAAATTAACATGGTCAAGAAAAGGCGATTTTATTTATTTATTATATTAAAATCTAATGGCAAATTAGGAAAAGGGAAAGAGGATAAAACCGTCTTGATTCTTGCAATATTATACAAGTAAATAAAGATATGTTTATTAATTCCTACATAATGATTATTAACGTGCATTGACCAGTCTTTAATTTACGGTTTAGTTTCATTTAAAGAACGTCCTATTTTATTTCGTTGTTCTTATATTACACTGAGTTTTGATGATTAGGTGTTTTGTTACCTCAACAGATTGACACAGAGTGGTATTTACCTACGCCTAGAATAGGATCAACTGTTTGGAACCATGTGTGGTTTATCAAAAAATTAAAGCGTGGTAAATTAAGTGTGGTTTAAATTGGGCACCAGCCCAAGGTACCCCGAGATTTAAATCTACAGCTTTTCAAGCACTTGTTACTTTCGCTACAGTTACTAGTGAGCGTATTTTCATTAATGTTCATGCAATCTATCCAAACGACGAAATATTCTTTAAAATATTTTAAACTTTCGATAAAGATGAACATTTCTTCCATTATATTTCATCAATTTTGCTTTCACAATGCTATACTGATAAATATTTTTACCTGCTCCAGTCTATATAACAAATTAATAAAGCTAAGAAGGAAAGACTAACATACTTTTTAGAAATCGTTGTTTGTTTCTTACCCTGTCCTTTGGTCTGTCTGCCCTATTGATAAACTGTACGTCAGTCTAGAAATACAATAGATAACAATGAAAGCACTTCGGGGCTCTTAGGAGTATCAGTTTATTTTAAAAATATATCAAGTCCATAATTTCCAAATAGTTTTTGATATGCAGAAATGATCAAATAATAAAGCTAAGAAGGAAAGACTAACATACTTCCTAGAAATCTTTGTTTGTTTCTAACCCTGTCCTTTGGTCTGTCTGCCCTATTGATAAACTGTACGTCAGTCTAGAAATACAATAGATAACAATGAAAGCACTTCGGGGCTCTTAGGAGTTTAAGTGTATTTTAAAAATGTATCAAGTCCATATTTTCCAAATAGTTTTTGATATGCAGAAATGATACCTATCTATCAACAATTGATCTATTTCATATGGATATTTTACTGTGACCACAACGCGTCATGAACTATTTTTTGGTCAATGAGTGGCTTCGCTCTTTACATTGAATATATTATAAGGTGCAATATTATTGTATGCCAGGACTTCGTGGGGTTCGTTATGGAAGTAAATCTTAATTCACGAAAAAATAATCAGCTATTTCATACATACTATCAACGATTGTAGGTATTACAATTTTGTATGCTCCCATAGAAAAAATTTATCAGTATACTTAACTAATCCACTTCACGAAGTCCTGGCATTTAATAATATTACACCTTATATAAAGATGTTGAATATCATATCATAATTTCCTTTATGATTTCAGGTATATTCTTCACGGATGGTTATTTCTGGCATACACAAAGGCGATTTTCGCTAAGATACCTTCGAGATTTCGGCTTCGGCAGACGGGACGAGGGTTTGGAGACCGTTGTGGAGGGTGAGATCAAGGAGATGATTGACATGACTATTAACGGCCCCAAGTATCCTGCCGAAAAGGTGACATTTAAAATATTTTATTACCTAGGCATATTTTTACGATCAATGTGGTATACACATCTGTTTTTTCTTTATCTCCGAGGTTAGTAGGTTAAAACAGGGAAAAATAGGAATGATCATATGATTCACTGTAACAAACACAATATAAATATTTGTGCAAAGATTACAAATTCTCTTTGTGTATTGGATTGGTAAACAAATCGGTTCAGTTACCTATTTTTAACCTAGTAGGCAATGGTGCCAATTCTATTGTAACGCTCTCTTAGTATAAGAAAACTAAAAAATCAAATTGAATCTTGACTTTTTAAATAAACTTAATTTAGTCTAGTTTTGTGCAACAGAATTGCTGCTAATACTTCATCGGCCTGTTATTATTGTTTTAAAATTTAATTTAAAAAATAAACTCAGGTTTACACTATACCGTGTGTTCAGAACATGTTCATTTTCCATATTTTAATAATCTAAGATCTAATCTACGAGATGTATATGATTCCATATCAGAATGAACAATTTTTAACCGACTTCAAAAGCGAAAAGGAGGTTATACGAGTATGTTCAACTGCTACGTATGTTTTTTTATGTATGTTTACCGATATTTCCGCCAATTGATGACCGATTTTCAAAGTTCTTTTTTTATTTGACAGCTTAACGGACCGAGGTGGTCATATTTAAATTTATCGAAACCGAATCAGTAGTTTTCCTTTTATAACAAAACAAAATATGCTTTTCATCAGATATCACTAAAGCATATCAGCTAAAAAAAACAAAAGATTCCGTTTTTTGAATTCATTCAAAATAAGAAAGGAGGATTTTCTATGTTCACCGAGTATACTTTTTATGAAAGCAGTCGTATGCTACAACAGTTTTGAATCCGACAGGAGCTCGTGAATGGAAATCTGATTTATTTGCCTCACTACTTCGCCGTCCCTTTCATCAACGGCATGCTTCATGTCTACACTAAGATGACCTTACCAAGATCGGAATACAATACGTTATGGGAACTGGCAAAGCATACTCTAATATTTCAGAGAAGTTCCAATGATTTTGGAGCTGCTCTATCTTTGACACCGAAAATAAAAGATATATTTCCTAATTGGAGTGGTTATAACAGCTTGAGGAAAGGCAACCAGTGCTTACTAGATTTCTTTGAGGTAAATATTCGTATAGAACCAGTTATATTAAAAAGTAGGTATGTTAACATTTTATCAGTGATACAAATGTTGCCTACATCTGTATCACTAACTATATTATTTACTAGTTGTTTTCCCATGACTTCCACCCCGCGTATACGTGCTACGCGTGCAGGTAGCACAAGTAGCATGACAAACTGGAGAAATGCTTTGTCACGTTTGTCACGCTGCAACTTTTTACCCAAACGTCACTTTTCTCACGAACGCCCATACGTTATCTTACTCTCGACCCGAGAAAGTGACGTTTCGTGTAGACAAAGCGTTTCTCGAGTTTGTCATCGTACGCTGGCGGGATTGTTGCCTATGTCATCCGCATATGATCTAGTTACTCGTAGGTGAAACAATTTTTATAGTCAGTACAATAGCTTCAGGTAAAAATGATCAATTTTATAAAATCCACGGTTGCGAAATATATCCTATATATAAAACCTATCTAGAAAACTATTTCATTTATTGCAGAAATTAGTAAAAAGGGTGATTAAAACACATGACAGCACTCACGACCGCCATTTTCTCGATATGTATGTTAAGAGAATGAAGGAAGAACTCGAGAAAGAGGGACGTTCAACTTTTTCGGGTATATAATCAAACCTTTAAAATTTGAATTTGTTTTAATTTGCACTTTTTAAATCTTAAAAAATAACATTAGAAATTCTTACCGATGATGACGTACATCTCAAATTGTTTGTCATTTGTACCATTCATAAATATCTTTCAATGGAAAATACAAGAGTGATAGAAAAATTTTCATTGTATGTCCTGTGGGGTACGACCGCTTAATTCTTTCTAGCCATAGGAATAATGAAACAAAATATCTCCATAATATCGCCAAGATATCGTATTCTATGGCGAGAGAGAGGCCATCGCTATCTAATATCCAGAACATTGACATAATTCTAATGTTATTTCCTTTAAATTTGTTTTTCTAATCTAAATGCGAATGGAAAAAATGTGTCTGCAAAAGAATATTTGCCAAGACCAGAATTTTGATGTGCAATCTTGAACAGTGATGCCAACTTAGCAACTTTATAGTTGGATCTAGCTATTATTTGGTGTTAGACAGTTACAATTTAATGAAACTCGTAGCTGAATTCTTTAGCTACTTTTTCTAGCAACTTTTCATTTAAGCAAAGAATCGACTGACGATGCAACAATGGCACATTCTTTATTTAAACAAGTGGCCAAACATTTGTAGAAGATCAGCTAGTCCTGATTTGCACGGACTACATGTTCCCGGCCGCTTCTGCCACGGAGGCGGTAATAACCATGTTAATTGAAAGATTATTGCTCCAACCCGAAATTCAAGAGAAAATACACGAAGAAATCGATAGAGTTGTCGGAAGAGGGAGGTTGCCAAATCTGGATGATAGGAAGAAGTGAGTATAGAATTAAATAAATAATTATTTTATTCTAGTGTGTTGTTTTGATGGTAAATACTTGTTCTAATCGAATTAGACTCACTTTTGTCATGCTTTAGTCAATAGGTTAGGCGTTGCGTTACAGTAGTCTTCTAACTAAACATCAAGCTATGTATTTATGTATAACATTATGTGTAAGATACCTGTGTATGCACAGCCAGCCTCTCAGATATTGCACGGTCACCTGTACTGTCAGTAAAAGCCCGTCGGGGTAATAGCGCCATGTTCGTTCCCCGGCAGTGATGCGGTCATAAATTCTAACACGTGGAAGGAAAGACGAAGGCGGAAGGACGAAGAACACGTGTAAGTGATACCTATTCAGATTTAATAGTCGGCTACAACTGAATGAAATACAAATACTAAGTGAGCGACTGTCGATACCGGAAAAAATATGTTGGGTATAAAATTAGAAACACATGGATTACATGAAAATCGTAATGAAAATCTGTTACAATTATTTTAGTCGTTTTGTGAAGCTTTTAAATTGGATATTCCAGAAGGCGATAAAAACGGTTAACCAGGCCTCCCAAAGACCTCGTAAGATAATTGTCACCTTGTCATCGGGGTGTATTCGAAATAGGGTCCTAAAGCGCTGAACAAGTTCAATCGAAAACAAAAAGAAAAACTGAATCCCTCACACTTTGGAGTAGAAGGATCCGTAAGTTGGTCCAAAAATACCTTGATTTAAGCAATCGCCTTATTGCCGCGATTGTTAGGGTGAATGTTATTAATTGATATTTCGCAACTTATTTGACTATGAGAGTTTGGCATTGTGATTAATTTAAACTGATCACTTTTTTGTTTAATGAGACTTTGTAATTATCGTTTTTTGTGTCCCTTTGTGCCTTCATATTTTAACAGAGAAGGTTTTATTGCCTCTATCCTCTATGTCTATGGATGTTATATTTAGGCTCTATTTTAAAATTTTCCACTTTTGTAATGTCGGGATCTATTATTTTGATATCGGCGTGTATGACTTCGCGACTTGCGACGCTAACATTGATTATTATTGTTTATTTTATTATTTATAGATTATATTTCTAATTTTAAACTAGCTAATTGATAATATCGTCGCTGTGTGAACTGGTTGAAGATCGAGTACTAGCTATTGCGGCTAATTCATTTGGGCGGGAATTTGCTATTATTTTATCGGCCATATTTGCGAGCCTATCTAATTTAACGTCACCTGAATCACAAGCCGTTAAAACTGTTCTTATCGATTGCGGAAGGCGACCTATTCATAACCATTTTAATGTGTCGTCCGGAACACGGTTGTTACCTAATTCGTGAATTCGTCGGAGTAATTGTGATGGCCTTTGGTCACTGAGTTCGATTTCATTCAACAATTGATTTAATTGCCGTGTTTTGGACTCTTCATAGATGGATATAAGTTTATGACGAAGTGTTTCATATATGTTGCATGACGGCATGTTTTCGAATATGTTACTAACGTCCCTTAATTCGTCTCGTTCCAGCTTAGCAATCAATGACTGTGATTATATGCAGGTCACTTGCCTTTTGTGGGTCCACGATAGCGTCTGATGCTGCCGCTGGTTGTTGGGGGGCTGGATTCGCGGCGTCGTCTGCTTGTTGCGCATTGATCATTTTATATTACTTGAATATTGCGAATATTTCATAGTTTTGGGCGCGCGATTGGGACACGTCGGCTGTCACCACCTAACCGTATATTGTTTGGGATCACCAGTTTACCTTATTTTGGGTATTTATTTATTGGTATATAGGGTGATATTTAATTTATTAGTAAGTTGATTATCTGACTCTATTTATACGAAGGATCAGTAAAATGAATGGACGTGTTCACAGGTATGAGTTTACTTTCAGACTGTTTAGATGTTAAATGACGACTTACAAATGCATCATATTGTTTATATTACAAATGTCATAGAATACGTCGCACAGAGTGGTCAACAAAGATTATTAAACAAATGTGCCACACGTGCTTAGATAAAAAACGTAGAAAAGTGTACAAAGAGTTCAAAACTCATGTATAAGATTTCGTTATGCAATACCTGGAAGAAGTAGAATTTCACCGCATTTATTTCAAAGGTGTATACTCAATATGTTTTCTGTTTTACAATAAATGTCCGCTTTATTTAAGTAAAAATTAACCCGTCATTAAGACGTAGGGGTCCAATGTTGCACCACTATGAAGATTGGACGGCGCAGGGGGTTTCTTGCTTCAAGTTTGCCTCTACTAAAATATGGAATGATTTACTACCTCCTATTTGTAAAATTGAATATAATCGCAGTCTTAGAACGTTTCGTAAGCACTGTAAAGACGGCAGATTTTACTTTTTACAGTATGCCGTATACTGAGGCGTGTCTCCGTGAAATGATGAGGGTCGAGCCACTGGTGCCGATGGGAGTGCCACATCGCTGCACTTCTGATGTCAAGTTTAATGGATACGATATACCCGAAGTACTAATTATATTTTCATTGCCACTATCATTAGTATTTTTGTAATCGTCTATCATATAAACTTGTACGTGTTATTATGCATTTATTTAATATATGTTCCCATGACAGTTGGCAGTTGGCATGACAGTTGTTAGGCAAAAAATCTGGTCACTTTTTACATAATAAATTACTATATAAAACAATTGGACTAATTACATTATTATCGTCACATAGTATCATTAGTATTTATGTAATTATTTATCATATAAACCTGTACGGGTTATTAATATACATATATTTAATAGTTGTTCCCTCTACAGTTGCTATTATCTATAGAAACTAAATTGCCAAAGTAATATGATATTTTAACACTTAGTCAAAAAGTTATTCAATATAGAAAATTGGTGAAGATATTTTCATTTGATATTGATATTTCAGAATACGATTGTGAGTGCGAATTACTCGATTCTCCACATGGACAAAGAGATCTGGGGTGACCCTGAAAATTTCCGTCCTGAGCGATTCCTCACTAACGGCCACTTGGATGTGTCGAAGGACAAGTCACTGCCATTTGGAGCTGGTAAACATTAATTGATACTTTCTGGCCTAGTGATAGGTTATTATTTTCTTATATTTAACATTTATATTGATAACTATACATTCCGACTTCATTTGAAATATTCTACGAGCTTTCTATTTAATGGCATCTTGTTTTATCTAAAGTTACGTTCAACGCATAACTGGCAAAACTTTCTTGACCAATAGTACCTGAATATAGGTATTATAAATTTATTGTTAAAGGTTTTGTTACCATAGACTAAAATTTTAAGAATTACCTTTATCTTTAGATTTAAAAATATTTCTCAGATATGATGTAGCTGAGAAATATTTTTAAATCTTGAATTTTATTTTAATTGTCTTTATTCATATTAGCATTGATATTTTTTTCTCCACCAAACTTGACATTTGAAGTGATTTGTTTTCATAATTGAATTGTAATAATAAAAACGATAATTTTGATATTTTGTATTATAACCTATTGCGTTTATATGTTTTTAATTCTATTTTTCTTATAACAGGCAGACGCTTGTGCGCGGGGGAAACTTATGCGCGGCAAACTATGTTTCAAGTTTTCGCTGGATTTATGCAAGCTTTTCATGTTTCAACTGTCGATGGAAAACCACTCAAGAAACCGGCAAAACGGATACAGGGTATTATCACAACGATACCCGAGTTTTGGATCAGCGTTACACCAAGAATTTATAAGGATAATTGACATATTATTTTCTATTTACTATACGTATTCCTATATAAATAATTATTTATCTTAAGTATCTGTAACAAAATCTCAATTTAACTGAAGGTTTTTTCCTTAATTAGAATGATAACACCAAGGCCCTTATGTTGTATCATTGTATCGTCTGATAATATTATTTATTTTATGTTTAGTAAAAATTTATACAAATTTAATCTCGATGGACGTGAACTTTTCGTCTTACTAACTTTTTACAATTTATAATTAATTCCGTTATTTTTTGTGTTTTATTGTGTAATGAATCATGGCTCATGTAATGACCATATTTTTTATATGTTACGCTCGAAGACTGGAACCACTCATTGAGCGAAAAAACAGATCACAGCGCGTTGTGGTCACAGTAAAAGATCCAGATCGCGAAATTCGTGTCTTGGCTGACATGCTATTCGTCCTCAATACTTAGTGGCAATGAAGAAAAGTCATGAAAGCATTTTGTTTTCAATGATTTATCACTTAATGACGATTTTAAAAAATAAAATAATCCCAAAAGAAATACTTCTTTTATTTTAATTTCATCTCGCACCCGTCCTGAAAATAATGGCTTGAACGAGACCGGGTAAGAGGAAGGAGAGGAGAGGAATCCGGCAAGGAGCCCTCCTTGTTCAGCGTAATTTTTATGGGTCCTCCTCTCTTGCTGGTTGGGAAAAGACCGGGATACCTGACCGTCTTTTCCTAAGATGGTGGACCATCCTTAGGGCTAGTGTTATCCGAATTTATTTGATTTATTAAAGAGAGAGATTCATTTTATTATAAAGTTACAGACTAAAACAAATAAATCAATGCGTGTCAATTCGAGGTTTTCTCTTGTCATTGTCAATTTTGCTTTAGGCGGTCAATGGTTTAAACCAAGTACTAACTTTAGTCTTCGTTTTATATATAATGATTTGAGTCTGGGTGACTTGATTTTTATTTCATTTGCTACAATCGATGTAAGACTTACTTGTAAGTTGTCTAAATCAGCAAGTCCCATAGAGAGGCGGTTAGGGTGTCAGTCAGTCCAGAAAAGGGATGCGCTAATACGCAATCCTGTGTCCCATTGCCGTCCACGTGTATGGAGAATACTGCTCAGACCTCTACCATTTAGGACAAGTCTCATGGCTGTCCCCTCCGTCCTCCCTCGCAGCAGTGGGGACGTAAAAATGTTGATGATGACGAGGTACTTAAATTTTTTGTTTGCGTGGTTTATGGTTTATTTATGTGTTTAACTACGGAAAATGCTATGCTATTCTGAACGACTTTGAGGATAAAAAAATAAGATATCCCAAAATTGCTCCAGATTAATTTCATGTTTGAATCAGGAAATCGTACGTGCGACTTACTTCAGAAATTAAGTATTCGCATTACCTCTACAACGGTAGCGAAACAGCGAAGCCATACATTTTTCTGATACATTTTACTGATATGTAGAACTTGTGAAGTTAGGGTCGGTAGAGTTAGGCCGTGTAGATTCAGAAGCTTGGCTCTACATGAGATCTGATATATTTTTCACTATTTCGTAATAGAAATTATGAGTATTTCGGCTATGTGTTCTAGTGCGTATTTTATAATATATTTTGTTAACTATTGGGATACAATCATATTTGTTGTGACATATAATAAAGCATATCTAATTGGGAACGAATCAGGAATTTTTAGAGATGAGTATAAGTATACTTATTTCCCAAGCAATATTTATGATTTATAATAGGTTTTACGAATGATTCATGATCATGCCACTCTATAGTGGGTAAATTATAGTCACCCGTAATAATAAAACTGCTAATGTCAGGCATTTCTTACACGCGGCTCAAGAAGTCAAAATGTGTCGAGTAGATTTGATAGTTACGGCTAGGTGGAATATATGAGGCACTTATGACGGAACAAGTGTTTCTTTTACGTATTTCTACAAGTACCTACATGATCTATGAGCGCTGATGTCGATATCACAGGCACATGAGTAGATACTTCTTTCAAAGTCGCCTCGCCCGCTCTTTAAGCCCTGTTAGCCACTCTAAAAACCCTGTATCTATCATCGATAAAATGATTATCCAATATATGTTCATGTGACCATGTTTCTGAAAGCACGATTATATCATAATCAATATCTATACATACATAAAAGGAGATGTCCTGACTTACTGACTGACAGACAACGCACAGCCTAAACCGCTGGTCGTAGAAACTTGAAATTCGGAGGGCAAATTCCCCTTAATACGTAAAGGTGTACTAAGAACGGTTTTTTGGAAATTCTATCCCGAAGTGGGTCAAAAAGGGTGGAAAAGTTTGTATGAAACTTCTTTATTTATGGACCTATGTCGATGAAAATTTGTATTTGAGTAGTTTATAACCTTAGGAAGGTCCTGAAAACTAGCACTTAAAGGGATTAAAATGGGAGTGAAAGACTTTATGGGGAACCAAAATGTTACCATAGCAACCATTATTTACAATCTGATATGTCATTGAAATAATTTTACCTAATATTATTTACAAAATGTTTTATTGTATAGCGATGTTTTGTATTTGAGTATATATTATATTTTTTATAATTTTAATTGATAAAAATGTCCAAATTCAAGTAATTTTGTTTACAAAAGAAAAAAATATTTATATTATATATATATGAACTAAACTAGATGGCAATAAATGAATTATAAATCGCAGATATTTGCCTAAAAAATTTACCTAAAATAACTTTTCAGCCAGCTGATGGTAAGTATATTCTAAATTGCGCTATTATGTTGATCAAAGAACTTTGCTCAGGTTTAAAATTTAAAAATGTTCCAAGATTTGATTAAAGAAATTGCAATTATTTATGTTTATCATTTTATCCTTAATTAATTTATTGAGGATTAGTGTTACTAGGTCTTAACCTAAGATTTTCAAGATAATTTTCACAAATTCTATTTTATTACATTTGTTCATTCATATTATGTAAACACCTTAGTATAGGTTTCCAGGTATATATGTCGTGGCCAGATCGTAGAATTGACCACATCATGATGTGGCCTGGCCAGATTAATGAATGATTTGCGTTTAACGATATGGGCGGCTGATAGTATGACTTATTCATGACGTAGCCAAGAATCGAATAAACAAGCTATTTCAGCAAATAATTAAATTTCTATTTTTTTTGGGTAGATTACTTTTTCGATTAAGTTTTGTGTAAACTTCCGAACTGTTTTTCCATCTGTATTTCAAATTGGATTGGATTGTTTTAATATATCTAAAGTTTTCAAAGATAAAGTGCTTAAACATATTGGATATTTGTTGGTTTTTTTTTGTTATCTAAGATACTGCATCTTCGAACTTAAACATCAAGGAAATTTCATCATCAACTCGAAAAAACAGCGTTTTTGGAAAATATATGTTGCCCAAAGTAACTATACCACGCGGACAAAGTCGCGGGCAAAGCAGCGGCATCGTCTGCGTGGTCCATATAAATTTCACAACCCTATTTTAACCCCTTGGGGATGGAATTTCCTAAATTCTTTGCTTAGTGCTCACTGGCGTTATTTATAGAACTCTGGTTATGTGTGTCACCTTCCTCTTTTATATATATAATAATAATAATAATAATAATAATAAGCCTCTTTATTTCCATAACATGGTAACAAAATGAATATTTGTAAAAAAAGGAAAAAACAATATTTTTAAACATTGTCATGGCCCCTTACGGGTATAGGCCTCCTCCAGGTGCCTCCATCTGTCCTTGTCTTTCGCGACGTCCATCCAGTCCCCTCCCACTAATTTTACTATGTCGTCATTCCAACGAACTCTAGGTCTGCCTTGTTGTCTTTTACTTTTATCCTCTTTTATATATATATATAGATTATAAAGATAAAAGATTTCTTTATTTGTTTGCTTGCCGATAAAAAAAAATCACCTACGGGAAGCTGCATCGTACGCGGAAGACACTGCTACTTGAAAATCATAAATATGTTAGAATGTAATGTAAACAATAATTATATGGTATTTTTTGTTTTTCAATTTATAGTAAGTGTATTTTATTTTTGCTTATTCGAATCAGTGGATTAGAAGAGCCGAAACGCTGGCGGCTATAACGGAGCATCGTGTGACGTCACATTTCAATAAACTAAACGTAAACGTCTTTGTTGCGAGTAAAATGAATATGATAGCGGTGTAATATAATCATACGAAAGATTTAAATACTTTTCCCAAAACAGTCAAGTAATCAATTAGCACGGGCAAAGTCGTGGGAGCGGAAACAGCTAGTATTTGACAATGATAATGCCTAGGTAAAAAAAGAAGTTCGAGTTTGCCCGTCTGTCGGATACTAGAAAAAATATCAAATATGTGATTTTTGCTTCAATTTATCAAGAAATAACTTTGATTTGTGGAGTTGGGACTCGCTACGTCACAACTATCTATAAAAAAGTACAAAGATGTGACATCATCTGATATTTTAACTCAATGTATCGATGTAATTTATTGATAAGAAAAAAAAAAAGTTTCATATTCTTCAATACTCTTCCTGGCGAACAGGCAAACAAAATAAGTCAGCATTCCCATTGATATTGACAGCCTCAAGCAAATTAGGTTGACAAAACAAGCTGATGAGCGAATGTGCCAACTTGATTTTTTAACTTTCTCCACATGAGTTGAGCTCGGTCTTGCCTACAACAACCCTGATATTCGCAACAACCCTGGTTTGGATCTTTGTAGGTTTGTTACTTCTTCACGCAATACTTACTGAACGGATTTTGATGAATTTTGGTATATAGGCAATTTTTAGTCTGGATTAACATTTATCCTATTAAAAGTTTCCCTAGGGATAAAAATACTTCTAAGGACGCCTATTTTTGCGAACGATGCCGAAACTGTAAGCGATATACGCATGCTTTCTAAAGAAAAGTTAGAGAGCTTTAAATTATTTATAAAAAGCCCTCGATGGCATATACCTATCTATGTGCTAAGATGTTGCCACAAAAATAAAAAAACTTCGTATAAGTGTACTTAATTTTTTTGTCCGACGAGACATTTATTTGAGTAGGTGATATTAAATCCTTATCGAAATAAATATGCTTATCGTCAAAGAAATTTAATGTACATAAAATTGACTTTTACATCAAATAAATTGGATGAGTAGTTTAGATTTTAGTACGATGTTTTTGAGAAAAGAAAATAACTTATATTGCCGATTTTGTGTGCAATAACAG